TGCATGTACCCCTCCACCTGCACTAGCTGCTGTGAGAGAGAGGCAGTGGAGGAGGAGACCAAGGAGGCCCATGGGGCAGAGGCAGAAGAGGCAGACGAGGAGGAAGAAGAGGAAGGGGTGGTGGTGGCGGCGGTGGCAGCGCGGGCGAGGAGACGAGAGGCGAGCGAGGAGCCGATCATGCAGGCGAGCATGAAGGACGCGAAGATGAACCCGTGCGGGATGCGCTGCGAGGCGGGCGCCAGGGCGGGTGTCCACAGGAACACGAATGTGTACATGCTGGCCTCGAACAGCGCTTGGATGGCGCCTAGGAGAAAGATCTTCTCGTCTGGTGGAGAGGCGGAATGTGTGAGGTGGGGAGTACAGGGGTTCGGGAGAGGGAGAAAAAGATTGGTGAGGGTGGGCGCCCTGAGGAATACGAACGTGTTCATGCTCGCTTAGAGTAGAGCCTTGCCTGGACGGGTTTCAGCAGAGAGACTTTATCGTGTGCAGGTGCCAGGGAGGGTGTGCAGAGGAACACATAGGTGCGCATAGTGGCGTTGAAGAGTGCTTGGATGGCACCTAGGAGAGCGATATTCTTGTCTGGATGAGGGGAATGTGCGGGGAGTACGGGGGCCGGGAGGGGAGAGGAAGAAGAGCATTGGCGAGGGCGGGCGTGCAGAGGAAGACGAAAGTGCACATGGTTTGCCTTGAACAATGCCTGGATATGGCGCCTGGGAGGGAAATTTTCTCGTCTGGATGAGGGAAACATGGGGGGAAAGGAAAGAGAGATGGGAATGGGGGAGTGTAGGTGTGCAGAGGAACAGCGAACATAAGTGTGCATCCTGGGCTCAAATAATGCCTGGATGGCGCCTGGTAGAGTGCTCTTCTGGGGAGCGCGGGGGAGGGAGGGGGGAAAGGGGAGGTAAGAGCGGGAGCGAGGAGGGGCTATTGAAAGTGAATGGAGCGGGGGGGTTGGGGTGAAGGGGAGACTTGAGGCAGGAGAGGGGTGAGGAGAATAACATGACTGTAAAATGGAGCTGGAGAGCTTCGGAAGAGCGATAGAGAGTTTGTAAGGGAAAAGAATAACAAGCCTGAAACCAGAATCCTAACGTCTCCCATCACAAGCCCCCATGCAGGCACCCCCTCCCCCCATTACCTTCCCGGATGGTAGCAGCAGCGGATCTGAACTGCGCGAGCAGCCCCTTGCTCTCATTGGTATCTCCGTAGTTCTCCCCCCACGTGCTCATGATGCCCGTCATGCCCACGGCCAGCAGCACGGCAGCGGCATCAAAGGGCGCCACTGGCCCCAGGCGCAGGTCGCTCACGAGCGTGTTGGCTAGCAGGCCCGAGAGGATGGCCACCAGTCCGTTGCCCAGGAAGACCGCCTGGGAGAACGTTACGGAGAGCCACTGCTGCTCGAAGCCGCGCTGTGAGAGGGAGAGGGGAGGGAGAGGGTGTGGGGGGAGAGGAGGCGAATGTGGTGGAGAAGGGGAGGGGGATGGCGGTGGGAGTGGTGAGTTGTAGGGAGATGGACTGTGGATGCGGCTGGGAGCTGGGTTGCAGTTGCAACGGGTAGGAGAGGAGTATGTGAGGTGGAGGACGGGTGTGCAGGTGGTGAGGTGGGTGGTTGGGATGGAGTGGGGGACGGATGGAGCCAGTAATGACTGTGCAAACAAGCGGATACAGGTGTCTCGCATGGGGAAGAGCGGATGGGGACCACAGAACGAGGCCATGAAAGCAGGGCGAGGGACCCACAACAGATCAGATTCAGCAAATCCCCACACCCACCCCTCTCAAACTCCCCTGCCCCTCCACTTTCCCCTCCCACCTTTCCTCCTCTCGCCCCTCCGGCTCTTCCTCCCCACCTCCCTTACCCACCCTCCCCTCCCCCTCCCCGGGCATGCGCCACCCACCTTGCAGTGCACCGCAATGAGCCAGCTCTCGAAGGCGACTTTTGAGCCGACTCACAAGACCTCCCCGTCCATCCTTTCCCCCCTCCTCTCCCCCCACCCCGTGCATGCATGCGCCACGCCACGCCACCCACCTTGCAGTGCTCCGCAATGAGCCAGCTCTCGAAGGCGGAGAAGAGCAGCGACGTGGCGATGCCGCCCAGCACGCGGCCCGCCATGAGCACGGGGTACTCGGGCGAGTGCTTGGTCAGGCACGAGAGGATGTACGCCAGACAGTATGTGATGCTCGCATTGCGCCGCCCGCTGCCGGGGGGGCGCGGGAGCAGGAAGTGGGGGGTGCGGGGAGGGGAGAGGGAGAGGGAGAGGCAGAGGCGTGTGTGAGGGGAGTGGGGGGCCTTGTGTAGACTCATGATGGGATGAGACCCGAGAATCAGAAGGGAAGTTCACGAAACAACATAAAGAGGGAGATCGACAGGAGGCCATGTGTTCCTACACCTGCAGGGCTCTCGTGCTCTCTCCTGCTCTCCCCCGCTCTCCCTTGCTCTCCTGCTCTCTCCTGCTCTCCCTTGCTCTCTCCTGCTCTCTCGTGCTCTCTCCTGCCCCTCCTGCCCTCTCCTGCCCTCTCCTGCTCTCTCCTGCCCCTCCTGCTCTCTCCTGCCCTCTCCTTCCCTCTCCTCCTCGCCTCTCTCGCCCTTCACTAACTGTCAGTCGTCCAGTGACCCCGCAACGGTCCCAAACACCATGGATGACTTTTGTGGCGCCTAAAAAATGAGACGATTTCTGAGGCGCCTCAATGATCGTCTCTCGCCCTTCACTCACTGTCGGTCTGCCAGGGACCCCACAACGGTCCCAAACACCATGGACGACGCAAATCCCGCGACGAAGAGCCGCCCGATCTCCGTGTGCGAGTACCCGTAGTGCTGGTACAGCGCGTACACGTACGGGCCCTGCAACCAGTCTCCCGCTGCTCATGGCGCATGACACAGGGCACACGGCACAGGGCACAGGGCACAGGGCACAGGGCACAGGGCATGGCGATGAGGGGAGATAGTAGCGCCAGGATGGGGAAGAGAAGTGAGGGGACGCGCGAGGGGGAGGGAGCACGAAGGTGATAGCAGTGCAGCGGTGCATCATTGGTTTGAGACTTGTGCTGAAACAGGACAGGTAGGAGGTTGCTGTGTTGCTCTCTCGGAAACAGGGCACGGTCGCTGACTGGGGTAGCAGCCACGAGCAGAAGCAAAGTTTAATTCGAGGAAATTGGTTCGCACACCCAACATGCGACACAGACACGCACCCACCACGCGACACACGCACCCACCACGCGACACACGCACTCACCACGCGACACACGCACCCACCACGCGACACACGCACCCACCACGCGACACACGCACCCATCACGCGACACACGCACCCACCACGCGACACACGCACCCCCACGCGACACACGCACCCATCATGAAGCAGTATATAACGAGGTAATTATTCTTAAACGCCTCGAACGCCTGAGACGTAACCACGCGGTCCCGCTGCCCCTTAGTGACCTCTAGCGCCACGCACAGCGCCAGCAGCGCCGCGAACACCAGCCAATAAAAAATCTCCATCTGCGCGCCCAGCCCCGCCGCGCCGGACTCGGCGGCGAGGTCCCACGAGGCGAGGGAAGAATGAGCGGAGGTGATGGTGGAACCACGTGGGCGATAGGGAGCTAGCGATTGGTTTGCACGGCAGGCGAGGAGCGATTGCTTGGTGGGATTGACGCGTCTGACTGCGATCGGATGTCCGACGAATGAGGCATTTACGGGGGAAGATCGGGAACGAGTGATTTGAGCGCAAGTCGCGATCTGGGATTGTCTCTGCGGAATTTTATGCGATTTTGTGTCGTCGGCAGGACGGCACAAGCGTGCGCTTCGTTGTGGCGGACTCGGGCCGCGCTCGCGATCTTTCCTGCCCAGCGGCCCCAGTTCACTGGAATTGGCAGCTAGTAACACGCGATTAACTAGGAATTGGGGGACGAGCCGCAACCGCAACGCTTCTCTACTCGAGGTACGGAACATGTGTCGTTTAGGAACGCAGACGAGGTTGCGTTGCGAATGCTGTCAGAGAATCTGGAACATCCGAGAGTAAGATGTTCGGCCCAGAAATTGACGAAATGGTTGGCGGGAAAGTACCACCGAGTTTGGGTGGAGGGAGGGATGCACCATTTCTGGCATTTTAGAAAATTATAAATACACTTCTATGTAGCTATAAATAAGCTCTTTCAGCTGTAACTGAACATATTGTGCACACTCTACAGCCATCTTGAAGAAATAATTCTCATGAAAAAAATCAAAGGATTCTAAAAATAAATATATTTCCGTACGGTATTCTCAACGCCCTATGCGGTTGTTAGAAAACAACGTAATCATATAAGTTGACACGGATTCAACCTTGAATAAAAATATTCAACTTAGAACTAGAAATTTCTCTTTAATATATTTCTGCATTTCTTCGGTCGCCGCTCTATTGAAATGAAGCACTCACCTGAGTTTGGTTCGCCAAACAAATCTCTATATATCAAATTTGTGCAGCTTCATAATGATATAGGAGTGTGTTCATAACGCATCATGAGCTGTCATATCCTCTAGTCAATTCAACTCACCAGTGCATGTCTCCCAGTCGTGTTCAATGCCTGTCACTTACGTGGCTCCACGCTCAGCCGCTCTCATTCTCAAATTTATCGAAAGAACCATTCCTGTCTCCTCGAAATCCCCGCGCTTCTTATCGCGAGCCCCGTGGAATCCGCTCCTCATGCCGCCGCCGTTGCGCTCCCCACTGCGCACGCGCGAACAGTTCATCGCGCATCCCCTCCTGCTGCGGAAGGCGAGAGCAGATGAATGTGCCGTGCGGTCTCCTCCACCTCCTCTCCCTCCCCACAAGCTCCTCCACCCATGTGTATTCTCGCTGCTGCTTCTCATATGACTCTTCGCCTAGACGTTCCTTCCATACGGTTGGCTGGTTACCAGCGTCGTTCACGCTACGAGCAACCGACAAACATCCGCGTTTGTAGGCGTTCGTTACGCCACGCACCACGTCGATCCGCGTTATAAAGCGCCTCGGAAGGCGTGTTGCTCTATGGCGCACGGGGAAGGGCTTCAGGGGGAGGACGCGCGGCCAGGGCGGACGGTATCGGGAAAAGACGCGGGGGATGGCGGGATGAGTGGCGGAATATTCGGCGGAGATCGAAGGGTGGTGGAAGAGAAAGCGGCGGAGGTGGATTGCTACTGTTCGGGGACACGTGGCGACATGAGATTGGCTGCTTCGGTGGAAGGGGTGACGGGGTGAGTGGGCCAGGAGGTGAGGTGGAGACACGGGCATGGGGAATGGGGCATGTTTACTTCTGAATGAAACTCTGCTCTCACCTCATGCGGTTTCCTCACTCTCTCTCTCACTCCCAGCTACCCTCCAACTCTCACCCACCTATAATCAGACCTTCACTCTGACATCAGCAGTGCTACGCCCACCCCCTCAATCTTTCCACGCATTCGAAATTGCTGATTGGGTGATAGCAGTCAGTCAGTCAGTCAGTCCAATCAGGCTTGCCGGTTCTAACACATCCGGCAAAATGGTATGCGTAGTACCTCACTCCCATGCACACCCCCACTCCCATGCACACCCTCCCCACCCCACTTCCACCCTCGTTCTCCTTCACACCAACAGCCCCAGCAGAAGCCACCAGCAGCACGCGCATCACCACCACCACTTCGAAGCAGCGCGGGGCACTCCCCTGCCGCCCGCTGCTGCTGCCCCGCCGTGTGCCACTGCCTGTGCTGCCGCCTGTGGGTTGGAGTGCAGGCAGCAGCGCATGGAGGTGGTAGGCGTGCCGTTGTTGAGTACAGCAGCTAGCAATGCTGACACTTGCTCGTCTGGGCAGCAGGGGCAGCAGCATGGGCGGCAGCAGCAGCAGCAGCAGCAGGGGCAGCGGAGCAGTAGGGGGAGCGAGAGGCATGGGTTTCGAGATTTGGCATGTGCAGCAGTGCGGCTGTGCGTGCTGCTGCTAGCCCTCCTGTATCTGCTCCTGCTGCTCTCACTGCTCTTACTGGTGAGCACACACACATGCACGCCCTTTGCTGTAGCACTCTAGCACACACCACACCAACGCAAGTACACCTTGCCACCCCAGCTGCTCGTTTCATCTTTCATCTCTCAGCACTGCTCTCCTTCACCAAGTCACCTTCGCCAGCCCTTACCCACCTGACCTCCCCACACACACCCCCCCACCCCCCACCTCTCCGCCTGCTCCCCCGTTTCCCCCCCTCTATCCCATGCCACCACAACCCCTTCCCTTGCATGCCATGCAGGCCCCCACCCGCCACGCTGCACGCTCTTCCCTCCTCTCTGCCCTCCGCCTGCTTCCCCGCACTCTCTCCCCCGGCCCCCCTTCGCCCGCCTCCCCTGCCGTGCCGTCGCCCCTGCTCGCACCACCCGCCCACCCCACACACCCTTCTGCACTGGCCGCGCCTGAGTGTGTGGTGGGGCGAGGCAGCAATGGGTCATGCAGCGGCGACTGCTGTGTGGCGGACACGTGTGCTGCTGGGAGCCTTGCTGACCTCGCCAGTTTCAGGAGGGAATTGACAGAACAGCATGGCTTGCATGGGCATGGGCATGGGCATGGGCATGGGCATGGGCATGGGCATGGGAAACTAGGCGAGGAGGGCGAGAGGGATCGGTCGTATGCGGAGGACTGCCGTGTGTTCACATGGGAGAAGCCGCACAAGATGCACAATGTCATGGTGAGCTCTCAGTCGACTCAAGCTTGCGGGTATAGTCTGACTGTAGAGACGACTTGTAGAGGCGCTGCAAAAGGACTGCCGTGTGTTGTGTTCACGCTCTTTTTGAGTCGACTCAGAGATGGGAGAAGCCCTACAAGATGCACAACGTGCTGGTGCGCTCGCTCGCTCCCCGCCCACCTTGACCTTGCTTTGCTCCCCTTCCCTCTCTCCCCTCCCCTCCCCTCCCCATTCTGCTCCATCAATCCTCCTTGCGCCTCTCCGTTCTCGTCCTACCCCCACGCACACACCCTTCAAGGCGGCCGCAAGCATTCCTGCAACGACCATCCTTTCCATCATTCTCTACCTCCCCCTCCCCCTCCCCCACCCCCTCCCCCTCCCCCTCCCTCTCCCCCTCCCCCACCCCCTCCCCCTCCCCCTCCCCCTCCCCCTCCCCCCCTCTCTCCTGCCCTCTCTCTCCCCCCTGTCTCTGCATGGTGTCAGGCAACGGTGTGGGACGAGTTCACGGTGGCGCATGCGGTGGGGTGGTGTGCCAAGGCGCTCATTATCCGCGACCGTCGCATGCTGCTGCTGCTCTCCATTGCCTTTGAGCTCACCGAGGTGACTCTTCAGTTGAACCACAGTTTGCATGTTGAGTTGACTCTTGCAGCTCTTCCTTTCTCACTCCTGGTACCCCGCCCTTTTTCTCTCTCGTCTCCCCCGTCCGCCGTCACCCATTTGCGTCGTTACCCATTTACACCCATGTCTCCCTCACTCCACTACCACTCACTTCTCCCCCCCTCACTCCTCTCCCCCACTCTCCACTCCCCCTTACTCCGCTCCCCTCTCGTTTCTCCTCCCCGCCCCTCCTCCCCGCCGCTCCTCGCCCATGCAGTGCATGTACAGGCATCTACTGCCCAACTTCAACGAGTGCTGGTGGGACTCCCTTATCCTCGACATCATGCTCTGCAACACTCTCGGTCCGTCCGTGCCACCTCCCTGCGCTGCACTGCTTTTCCCTGCCATGTGCCATGCCGTGCCTTCCCGTGCCAATGTCTTCACGCCCTTGCATACCGTGATATGCAACAGCAGCACCAGCACCACAAGTCCATGGCATCACGTCCTGCGCCACAAGCAGCAGGGCAGAGAGAATGGAGCCCTGAGCCCTGTGAGAATTTCCTGGCTCGATGAGCACTTTGGTCCTTCGAGGAGAAGTCCTTCCACGACGCACATTCGTCCTCGACCTCACATCACACCCACCTCCCTGTCACTGCTTTCTCAGTGCACTGCAGAGGGACTGTATCTCCTTTTGAGTTCTGAACCTCGCTCCCGTGATCACCAACCCACATCTTACAACCAACTGCCTTCCTCCACATTCTCATCTCACTCTCCCAACCTGCAACCGACACCCCGTTGCTCCATTCCTCTACCCACCCTCGCCAACCATTTTCCCTCCTTCCCCTCCTCCTCACCCCCCCCCCCCCCCCCCCCCCCCACCTTTTCCTCCTCAGGCATGGAGGTGGGCCTCTGGCTTCTCCAAGCGTGCCACATGCCGCGCTTTGATTGGTTCGCCGGCGTCTCGTCTCTCATCGCCCACACGGCACCATCCCTTGCGCATCTCGTCTCCACCACTCGCCAGTCCCTTGTGGTCCGTACCCTACCCTCCCTCTCTTGAACCACGACTAAAGAACATTGTACATCTCGCCCTCCTCCCTGCTTTCACTCACGTCCCTCCTCTTCCTTTCTCCTAGATTCTTTCTTCCTTCCACCACCTCACTCCTTTCCCGTCTCTTCGCCCCCTTCCCTTCCCCCCCCACCCCCCTCTCCCTCCTCCCCCCACTCCTCGTGCAGGCAGCGCTGCTCGTCCTCCTAGTGCTACCAGCGGACCTCTGTGCAATCTTCCTCAACCACTGCCTCAGCCCTCGCCCTGCTGCGTCTTCTGAGGCGTCTCAAGATTCCTCCCTCCTCCCCCCTCCCCCCTCCCCCATCCCCCTTCTCCCCTCTCCCCTCCCCCCTCCCCCCACTGTGCAGGCAGCGCTGCTCTTCCTCCTAGTGCTAGCAGCGGACCTCTGTGCTTTCTTCCTCAAGCACTGCCTCGCCCTGCCGCCACTTCACCCCTTCAACACCCTCCGCCTCTGCCTCTGGGCTGCTCTCTCTCTCCCCGCCGCACACTGCCTGCACTCCCTCCTGCACTCGCCTCTACTCGCCTGCCCGTGCCCCTCGGCCTCTGGCGCAGGGCGGGCGGGGGGGAGGACAGCAGGGGAGAATGGAGCAGGGCGGGGTGAAGGGGAGCATCCAAGGAAGGCGGATGGGTGAGATGGGTGGGGTGGACGGGGGACGGGGGAGGGGGGACGGGGGAAGGGGGAGGGGGGGCGGGCTGGGGGGGCTGGGGGGGCTGGGCAATATAGCACCGCATGTGCTGGTGTTAAAACATTTTGCAGGGTGTATGCAAGGAACCAAGTTGCTTGCCCTGGTGAATCTTACCTGTTGAGATGCACCCTGAAAGAGGTGCCTTGAAGTCAACTCTAAAGTCATTTGTTGAGATGCACACTGAAAGGCTCCCACTCTTTTATGCTGCTGATTCCATCTCTGCTCATCTCCTTTGTTCAACCCACTCTGTGCCTTGGTCTCATCAGGACTATGCTTTGTGCTTTTTGAGAGTTAAAGATGAAAGATTGTCTGCACCCACCCCATGCCATGCCCTGGTCCCATCCCATCAGGGGCATCCCGTTCCTCATCCTCGCTCTGCTGCTCTGCCTCTCCGAGATTCTTGTCTCCCTCAAGTTTTGCCAGGGTATGTGCCTCTCACCATGCTTGTTACATGTATACTTTCTTTTTCTTCTTCTTTTATTTGAAGATTAATCTCAAATGTGACACAAGCAGGGCATGCGGATCTTACCGTGTCGTGCTTGCTCTTTCCATGCCACGCCATGCAATGCCATGCCATGCCACCCACCCCCTACCTTGCTGTTCCATGTTTTGTCATCTCACGGCTGTCGATTGCCGCTCAACCGAGCGCCCGCAGCCACACAAGTCCTGCTCTCATTGAGTCATGTCACCATCACTGTCCTTCCGACTCCCACCCTGTCCTTATCTCCCCCCGTTGTCCTAATTTCCCCCTTGACCACCTACAGGCATGTTTCCATCTCCACACCCTCCCTGGGTGTCCGCCATCCACATGGCTCTTGCCTATTCCTTTCTCCTCCTCCTCCTCCTCCTCCTCCCTTCCCTCGTGCCCTCTCTCTTCCTCTGGTTCCTCCCATCTCCCTTCGGGTTTCATTCCTCCTCCTTCGCCCCCCTGGCTTCTTCCAACTATTGCCCACTGACAAATGCGGGTGGTGGTAATGCTTGGTGGAAGGAGCTGCAATAGAGGGGGGATTTGGGATGTGCAGATTGGTCAACCAAGTGCGAGGCAGCTACATTGCCATCATAGTAACATGCTGGGGTACTCTAGAAGCCGCAAGCCTGGAGCAGGTTCGGAGTTCATTGTGTTGCGTTTTGGGATGTGCGGTGTGAAGACCAAGTTACAGCTTCTACTTGGATCCACTTGAAATATGAAGGAGCTGTGTGTTGGATATGTTACCATCCTAAACAGGACTTAGGGCGTATTCCTACGGCCTCCTATCAAGAAACCTCCTATCAAGATTGTACATTTTGCCTGGTAAAAGTAGCGAGAGATTTTGGGTTTAGGGAATTTTCCAGTGAGAGCTTGATAGGAGGTTTTCTTGATAGGAGGATAGGAATACGCCCTTAGCCAGGGATCGGCTCAAAGTTGATCGTGTCACGAGACTTATGTAAGGTAGGCAACGGGTTTAACTAATAGTAGGTGAGTAGTCTGTGCCAAGGATGTTGGGCTGAGAATTTCAGCCTTAGGATCTTTGCAGAGAATAGGCTAGTAGGTGCTAAAGTAGCACAGCGGAAGTCTTGAGTGAATGTACTTGTGCTGGTATGTGAGAACTGTTGGGCTGAAAAGGCCCTTAGGATCTTTCAGAGGATGACTCTTGGGGTGAAACTTGTAATAGCGGAAGCGTTTTAATGAAGATTGTGAACCGACCTTGCACTGGTGTGTGAGAGCAAAGTAGATTGAATTAAACAAGCAAATACAAGGTTTTTATATAAGAGTACAGGGAATACGAATAGATAGATAACTGTATTGCTGTTGCGGTTCGATACAGTGCGACTCGGGCAACTGCTCTGTAACGAGTCAGTTGTGTGTCCTTAACCGTCGCGCTGTAATTGTCGAGTCAAAGGTCGCTGACCTTTGACTTTCCCGTAACCTCCAGGCGGTTACCCTAACCTCCGAGGTTGACTCGATGCTTCGATTGGGACTACTTCGCTTGGTGCCTTTGGATTTTGAGACGACAGAAGCGCACTTAAGACTTATTGTTTCCAACACTCCCCTTCGCTTCTGGAGTGTCGCTGCTGGTGACGTGGCCTTGTCCAGTCAGCAGCATGCAGTATTCGAACTTCTGCTTCCCGAGTTTCTTGGTCAAGTAATCGGCTGCCATCTCAGACGTGGGACAATATGACAGATCGAGTTTCCCTTTTTCGATCTCGTCCTTCACGAAGAAATAGCGCAGGGCGATGTGTTTCGTCCTGTTTGCGAAGCCGTTCTTGTTGGCGATGCGAATTGCCGACTGGTTGTCGCAGAACACGGTGAAGCTGGGTAACTCGGCTAGCTTCGCTTCTTCCAGTAGTTCGCGAAGGTAAAGTCCCTCCTTGGTGGCTGAGCAGAGTGCAATATATTCTGCTTCTGCTGAAGACAGTGCGATTAGTTCCTGCTTACTTGACTGCCAGGAGATAGGACCGATAGGCTCGAGACGGTAGACATAGCCGGTGCGTGAGCGTCTGTTATCGGTGTCGCCGGCGTGATCGGCGTCGACGTAGCCGATTAGCTTGGTCGGTGTAGTTTCGCTTTTGTGGTAAGTTAGTCCGATCGTCGCGGTGCTGACGAAGTAGTGGAGAGCGCGATCGAGTTCTGCCAGATGCTCTGCTTCAGGCCTCTTGAGATAGGTGGCAAGCTGGCTCGCGGAGTAGGATAGATCAGGACGGCATGTGACTGCTGCAAAGAGAAGACATCCGAGCTTCTTCTGGTAGTCGCGTATGCCGGCGGGCTTGAGTAGAGTAGATTGCCCCTTTTCGGTTCCTGACGTGTAGCGGTAAGGCGTGGAGATGGCGCTTGGTGTGAGGCCGAAACGTTTCGCGATAGTATCGGCGTACTTCTCGGCGCTTAGGTAGATTGCGTTTTCTTTCTCACGGATGTTGAGCCCGAGGTACTGCGTAACCGTAGGAGAGACCGTGATCGTGAGATCTTTCTGAAGCTCCCCTTCGAACCACGTGGCGATGCTGTCGGTCGACCCGATGTAGAGGAGATCGTCCACGTAGACGATTAGTAGGACGTAGTCACTTCCTTTTGTGAGGCGATACATCCCCTGGTCATGCGGAAGTTGTTTGAAGCCGATGCGGATGAGGCGGGCGTGTAGGTACTGCTGCCACAGTCGTGGTGCCTGCTTGATCCCATAGAGTGACTTGAGTAGTTGACACACTCGGTTGGGTTCGCCGTGGGAGCCGTGTGGGAGTTCGACGAAAATTTCTGCATCCACAGGTGCGTAGAGAAATGCGTTCGCAACGTCGATTTGTCGCAATCTCTTTTTCTTCATGGCGGCGACGGCGATGAGAATTCGGAGTGAGGTGTGACGACTGACCGGAGCGAAGGTTTCGGTGTAATCTCTTCCGTGCTCTTGGTCGAAGCCACGTACGACCCAGCGGGCTTTGAATTTGTCGATGGTGCCATCAGCTTTCGTCTTCACACGGAAGACCCATTTCCCGGTAAGAATAGTTTTGTTTTGAGCTACGCCGATGGGAACAATTTTCCAGGTGTTGCGCTCCTCCAGTGCCTTTAGCTCTTTGTCCATGGCTTCACGCCATTTCTCCTTGTGTTCCCCCCCCAGAGCCTGTTGAACCGTCGCAGGCTCCTTAGGAATGCCGGCTCCATGGACTGCGGTGACGAGACCAAGGATTTGCAGTCCAGTCTGTGAGTATCGAGGGAGTTCTGGATCCTCGGGATAAGCTGCTTCGTCTCCCGCTTCTGGGTCGGGCATGAAATTTGGCCCTACCCTTTCTGCTTCGTTGGTGTTGACTGTCGCAGGTGTTACGTAACCATCGTCGGCGAAACGGTAGAAAACTTCGGCGTTGTTACTGTCGCGAGGATTATCCTCATCCATGGGCACGTCGACGGAGCAGTATGGGAGAGGTCCGGCTTCCTCCGAGGCGTTGTCGACGTTCTGTTCATCCCAGTCTGCTTCGTCCGCTGCTGAGGCGAAGGCTCGGTCACCATGAAATCCACCTGTGGGGTCCTGATTCTCGTGCAAGTTGGCGAGGTACGTCTGAAGGGTGAGTCTTTCGTAGAAGATCACGTCACGTGCTGCTACTGTTTCCTTTGTGTGGACGTCGAAGATTTTCCATGCGTTGTAATTTTTCTCGATGCCGAGGTGTAGTCCCCACTGTGCCCGTTGCAAAAATCTTCCCGCGCGTGCTTCTGGGGGTCGGTACTGTACCATGCAGCCAAAAACTCGTAACATTTTTGTGCTGCCCTGCTTCCCTGTCCACAGCAGATGTGGTGACGCGTTGTTCGGGAGTGACAACGATGAAAGCAGGTTGTGCAGCATGACATCGTGGTCTATTGCTGCAGGCCACTGGTGGTTGGGTAGTCGCATGCCACGCAACAGTTTGCGCATGCTGTTCTGCAGAGTCCTGTTCATACGTTCTGCGACGCCTTGCTGCTGATAGGCGTAGGGAAGGGAGAGGAGTTGCTTGATTCCTCGTTCCGCCAGGTACTGCTTGAAGCGCTGAGAGGTATACTCTCCTCCTCCGTCTGACTGAAAGCTTTTCAGTTTAGCTCCCGATTCCCTCTCTGCTACCGGTAGCCAGGCTGCAAAAGCTGCGAGAGCCATGTCGCGGCTTGGTAGATTTAGGTGCCAGACATAACGGGTGGCGGCGTCGATGAAGGTGATGGTGTAGTTGTAGGTCACTTGCCCTGGCTCTCGGTTGAAAAGGATGTTGCTGTATACCTTTTCGAGTGGTGCGTACGCTGGTGCGCTCGGATTGTGATGTGGAGCGAACAGTCGATGAGGTAAGTCAGCTTCAGGGCATGTAAGGCAAGTTCCTCTTGCCCTTTGAAGTTCTGTGCCGTCTGGTAGTAGTAGGGAGTCTTTGTCGAGAACTCCTGCTCGTATCGTGTTGTTTAATGTTGTGTTACTTGGATGTCCCAATCTTGCGTGCCAGGTTTCTTCAGAGGCGCGATGTCCTGGTGATCG